GAGAACACCCCCCCCCCCCCCCCATCATAAAAACAATTTCTCATAGGATCTAAGCAAATCCCATAGGTGACCTATTTTGATCTAAAAAAAGTGAATTGTCACTGAAAGGTGAGGAGTTTGCATCTATGATATGAAAGCTTAATATCTACAGCCCAACATTTGGAGTCGTATTGCTGCATGACTGCTTAATTTTTTAACAGTTGGAAAAAATAGTCTCATAAAACATAAATAGAAAGTAAACCGGCTCATATAATATTGATTTTTACCTTACAAGGTTGATGATCATTTCTGAATGTTTTAAATATTTTAAGATTTTCAGGTCTTATTTTGTACCGTTTTTCTTGAAATTTGATTATGTTTTGAAAATTTTGTTGATTTTGTTTTTAAGCATTTTCTCTTTTCCCCCTCCCTTATAGTATGCTATGTTCCTGATGGTGGTGTTCTTAGCTGAACTAGTGGCAGGTATATCCGGCTTTATTTTCAGACACGAGGTAATTATATATATTTTTTTATGTTTACGTACAGTATTTCAAATACCATCTGATGTCTACAGCCAAATAATGTTTTCACTTTTTTTTTTTTTTAAGATTAAATCAGTGCTTCAAGGTGTCTATAATAAAGCTGAATCAGTCTACAGTGGTAAGGGCAATGAAGATCTGGACAGAATCCAGAGAACAGTAAGCACGTATTTGTTTTATTGGGAGCAGTACAAAACAGGGATTACATCAAACTTCACTTATCTGCTTAAATGTTATTTTGAGGAATGTAATTTATTTATTTTGTCATTTGTAGCTGCAATGCTGTGGAGAAAAGAACTACACCAGCTGGGCAAACAAGGATTACTTCAAAAAAGAGGGCATCCCCAACAGCTGCTGCAACATAACTGCTGGTGTAAACTGCACTTCTGCAGAACTTAAAGATCTTAACACGGCTGCAGCAGTGGTATATCAACGGGTAAGATCTCTGCTGTATCTAAACACTCCTACATCAACAAAATCATAAGAGTTATTCTGAATTCTGGTACAAAAATAATCCTTCTCTTGTAGGGCTGTTTCTCCATGATGACTACAACATTGGAGGCCAATCTTGGAATTATTGCTGGAATTTCTTTTGGAATTGCGTTCTTCCAGGTACTCATCGTGTCCAGTTTTTTTAATATATATATATATATATGTCTGTAATGCATCTAATAATGTATGTTTTCCATTCAATTCCTCATCAGCTCATTGGGATATTCCTGGCATGTTGTCTGTCTCGCTATATCACCAACAACCAATATGAGATGGTGTAGTGATCCACAGGTATATTCTCTTACTCTTCCCATTAGGCTCTTCTTTTTAAAATGGCACAGTTTTGTGTTGTTCTATTACATGTCATTTAATGAGTATTTCGACTGATAAAAAATGACACAGTTCTCATTTAAGGGTTCTTACTGTCGCTTCTGTCTGATTACAGGGTATCAACTGGCGATCACAGAGAGCTGGACCTGACAAAAAGGGAAACCATTTAGTTTCAGTGTTTTGTATGTGTGCCTTAGCTAAACATTTCATTTTAGAGAATTTCTGACTGCTTTTTAAAGAATAGTTCTTGTTGGTAGCTACATTGAAGGGAAGGAACCGGTTTGCATTTGTTTTGCCAGAGTTGTAAATATAACAGCAATTGGATATACAGACGTTTGTAGAAAGTGCATGTGTTTTAGCCAGTGTTAAACCAAGAACCAGTTATGCAGTAAATAGTGTACTGCGCACCTTGACTTTTGTTTCATTGGAATTAACACATACTAAAACTTTGCATCTAGTAAAAAAAAAAAGTAGTACAATTTCTTGCATGCATCTAAAGTTCAACATTTTCTCAACATTTGCCAAATATTTTTGAGTGACTTAATAATTTGAGACATTTAAGACGTTATCCACTCAACATGTTACATAGGGAGTACTGTTTATGTCACCAGCAGTTCATTTTCAAGAAATAGTTTTAATACATGTACGTTCATTGCCATTTGGATTACTTCTGTGATAATGATGTGGTTATTTGCCATTTCTCTACAGTCTTTATTAATGTAGCAGCTATAGTGTTAATTGTAAGGTTATTGAATGTCATAGTGGTGATGTGCTGAAGAGAAAGGTTGTAGTGTCTCTTTAACTTTGTCTTCAAAATGTGAAATCTTTTGCCACCCAGGTTGATCAGGTAACAATATTTAACATGTACATACAAAGCTACAAATATCGCCATTATCTATACAGGGGTTGAGCTGTATTTAAAGACATATTTGCATTTGGATGGCAAATAAGGTGATGTATAATCCAGATTACTTTTTAAACTATAATTCTTTTCTCTCGTCACTCCAGCATAATCATACTGATTAGTTTTTGTCATAAAATAAACCACCCTCTGCGTTTTGTTAGCATATGGGTTACTTTTGGGGCATGTACACGTTGTATCTTTGTATGTCAACAGCCTGTTCTTTTTTTGTGCAAACTGTAAAATGCATAGGAACAATAAACTGTTTTATATGAACATAGACTTCAGACGTAGAACCACCAGATGGCGCTATCTATTTATTTATACGACTGTATTTAGCAATCTGAGTTAAGAACCAATGAAGAGTGGATCGAAAGCAGGTCCATAAGGGGGAGGTGTGCCATTTGGGACAGGACAGGCATATAATAAATAGAAATATAGCTAATAGTACTATCTGTGATCATTAAAAATTACTGTCCTAGAATGCTTTAAATCTAGCGGGCTGCACGTCGCATTATTGACATATGCGACACTGAATGACCATTTAGAGAAAGTAGTGGTTCGTAGGTTAAATCGCTATTTCTTTAATCACCACGAGCAAGAGCTCATAATTGAGCGCTGAAATCGATAACTGCGTTAAGAGTAAAGTAAATATTTGCACATCCTCTTGTGAAGAGATTATTATATCCTGTAAAAGATACCGACAGACGTCGACGCAGATGAAATGCTGAAGCTGGATTGGTCCGAAGGCCTGTCAATCACTTGCAGCTCTCCACACCATTGGACATGACGCTTCCCTGCCTGACGTCGACAGTATAAATGTTGTCAGTCCTCGACAGAGCTAACAGAAGAAGGGCGCTTTCTTCTCAGTTGTGGCGGTAGAAAATTGTGGCTGCTTCGTCAGTCCTTTATAGTTTATCTTTGGGTTATTCCAGTCCAGTAGACGGTTTCATCCAGGTTAGTCATTTGCATCTAAATCTTTTTGAGATTTATTGCGTCGTCAACTTGTCATTGCAAGGTCAGGTGAAGTAACGCTTGTGTCGTGTGTAGACGTGCAATGAACGGTTCTGCATGCTCGTTAGTGCAATATCAGAAAGGCATAGGCTTTTGATGAGATGTTTCATCTTAAACCTCGATTAATATTGTTTGGATGTTGATGCTTTAAATAGACAATGCTATCTATCTATATTAGCGACGCGAGGAACTAAAACGTTCTCCTTTTTAGCTATAATAATGATGTACGGATAAATCGGTCTTTTAGTTGATTCTTCACAATGAATCCGTTTAACCGCTTAAAAAGCGGCACTGAATCGAGAGGTTCTAGGTTGAACTCATTGAACCAAGAAATCGCGGAGTTGGATTCATTAAATGGCGGTCTTAACTATAATTTAGTGTTTAAAAGAAATGCAAGTTAACTTTCAGTTCGAGCTGAATCATGGCTGCAGCAACTGAATTGGGACACGTGAAACTGTAATAAACACTCTTAAATGTACCAACAAATGGCTTTATTCGAAGGTTTTACAACGCGTAATGTGCGATGTCGGGATAGACTTTGTCAGTCGGTTTGTCACTATTTAAAATGGTTGCCTTTATTGCAAGAGATTTAAGTCGGAGACCTTTTTGCATTTGCCTTTTGTTTTTGTTATTTTGATTGTACCCTTTCATTTCAGCTTTGCCATGATGCAGCTCAGCAGCGACACGCAATGCAACAAGCACTCGTTGCTCAACGTTATGAACCGGTTCATCGCTGCTGCCAACAACATGGATGAGACCATCATGGTGCCAAGCTTCCTGCGGGACGTGCCTCTGGAGGACCAGGACAGCCAAGCCTCTGTTAGTCACAATAACAACGAGCCCGCTTTCCCCAGCAAACAGAGGGACATGTATGAGCACTACCTGCTGCTAAAGTCCATCAAGAACGACATGGAGTGGGGCCTGCTGAAGAGGGAGATGGGCGGCAGCTTTCTAGAGATGGCAGTGACGCATGAAGAACCGCAGGTGAACGGAGGAGCTGCAGAGGAAGGCTCTGACCTGGAGGGCCAATTCCACTACCACCTCCATGGACTGTTTGCTGTTCTGTCCAAGCTCACGGTCCAGGCTGACCACCTCACGAATCGTTACAAGAGAGAAATCGGTGGAGGTAGCCTGTTGCGATAGGATTGACTTGTTTAGAAATAAAATGGACTATTTTTGAACCATTGGACTGGGAAGTGAATGGGTGGCAGTGGACCTAAAGGGCTTCAAATTCCCCTCTGCCATCAAAAAAGGGTTTCTTGCCCAAGTTGGTTGGCCTGTGGCCTGTCTTGGTGGTATCTGATGCTTTCAGGACGTTTCCTCTAGACACTAAAGGGCTATGAGATTAATGGGTATGGTTTTAAATCTCTGTATGCCAGGTCCGAAAGCCCTTGACGTTGTCATTTAAAGCTGTAGAAGAATGTGGATGCTGGTAATTCAATTCTTTCTATTAGCCAGCCAATGCCTTTTAATGAGGGGAATTTTTTTTTATGTATTAATGCTGCTCTTGTGCACTTGTCCATGTAAAATGGCGTGCCTTGTTTTCATTTCCCACTTGTGCTGTTCTCGTGTGTGTATGCTTGTCATGCATTGTATCTGTTTGAACAAGGCCCATATGAGTCTGTATGCCACTTGTTTCTGGTTTGTCCTAGAAGGTTTCAAGTTTTATATCATGCTGTAATATAGTGACTTATTGAAATAAAGCATTAACTTAAACTGCCTCACTGCGTTGTCTTCCTCCTGAGTGTTCCCTTGAATTTCCTCTCCTCTCAAGTGCAATAAGATGGCAACATTTACTGGAGGGCTGGGTCAAATATCTAATCCTAAATGGAGCTAGTGAGTATCTGCTAATCTAGTTTCGTAAGGGCTGTGTCTCTTGCATTGTGTGTGTGTGTGTTACAAAGGCAGGTTTGAGCTTGACTATTCATTAGTGTTCTCATGTTTGCAACGGCTTAAAGGGACGGTTCACTTCAAATTAAACTTGTCATTTACTCATGTCATTCCAAACCTGTATGCCTTTCTTCTGCAGCAGTCTAAAGCCCTTTTGTTTTTTTTAAAAGCATGTTGGTAAGCATGTGTTGGGGTGAGTACATTTTTGGATGGAATATCTTTAACTCCCTTGCACGACATGAGCACAGCTTGAAACCGGCGTTTTAAACTCCAATGCAGGCACTTCCATAAGAAATTACCTCATTCTTCAATATAGCGGTTCAAAGTGTATTTTTTTTTTTTTAATCTAATTAAAAGTATATCTAATCCTTTTAAGACACTGAGTTTTAATGCTCCGTTCTCAAGCATTGTGAGCGTTTGAAACCTCCAATCTAAACCGATTTTCTCAAAAGATAGTGTTTAGAGGAAATTGGTTTTATTTTTGCATTTTCCCAGCAAAACGTGCATGCATTTTATATTCACATCTTTATTCTGTGTGATTGAGTATGGACACTTCTTGAAAATGGGAACCCTTTTACCTTTCCAAACAAAGTATTTCTCATCATCACCATACTAAACGTTAACTGAACCATGAACAATACAACTCCGTAACTGTTCAAGCCGCAATTGTGGTAACACCCTGCCTTTGAAGTAATGTAGGTGGGTGGACCCAAAGAATTGGCAAAAGCAAACGTGAGAATCCCAGTAATAATCAAAATGTCTGCTTTGGCTATACAGAGGGGGCATTATGGTATATCAGACCAAATGTAGTCCAACCATCTGTCCGTTCAAGTGAAATAGGTCAGCGTGAGGCACACGAACTGTGCCAGGCGGTCACAGGAACAAATCTGCATGATCTATGAACCAGCAACTAGAGGGATTTGCAGCTGTCTTAAAATTTAATTTTAAAGCTTCAACCAAAATGTAGCATGGATCAAACATTAAAAGCAAGCCATTTATTTTGTTTCATTCACTCAGAATGCAGGATCCACATGCATGTATGCTAAAAAATGTAAGGATTATGATTTAGAGGAACACGTTTTCAGTAGGTTAAGCTATATCTTCTTGTGTCTCTAGGTTGCGCTGATACTTATTAACAGTGACCATGCAACTATGACAGACTAGCGTAAGGATAAAAACATTGTAAATCATAAAGGGACTCCTAAAAGCATAAATCAGTTTCAAAATGTTTGGCTGGATCAGCTCGTCCCTATGCCATGGTGCATTGAGCGACTACGTGATCAGGCAATCTAGACTTGGCCGGGCATGTCCAGTCTGCTGGATCATATCTAACAGCTGCCTTTTTCGTGCTCCCGTACATCTTGGCACCCGTTAGGGAACATTGCTAAACAAATGCAATGCTGGTGACTGGCATACATGCGTGAGACGTGGCAGAATGTTTCATGCACTCTTTTAGTTCAAATTTCAGCAGTTCAAATGAGAGAAAGGACTGTTTAGGATGAACCGATTCACTATAATGAATCAGACTTGGTGCTATACAGAGCCATTTAGGATGAACCGATTCAATGGTGTGAATCATAAATCCTAAATGTTGTAAGTGGAAAACGTAGTTAAGTTAGTATTGTCGCTACACTGCTACTTAACGTTATGGTCCTAGGTAATTTATTAATGCATTTTGGCATAATGTTGGGTGGCTGACAGCTGTTAGTAATACTATGGTGAGATGTTCAGCTGGTTTGGGTAAGGAGATGCTCACGCCACTCAGCCTGACAATACTAGGCCTTGTGTTGTATAATGAGAGCCTGTGTGTTCCATCACAGCATTACCAATCTGTCTTTGTACAACCTCTCCGTGCTAGAGGCCGAGCTTTCACACCACCCACTGGGCATAAAATATCTTTGTAATTGTTTCTGAAATTTACAAACAATTTCTGAATTTTTTTTTTTTTTTTGTGATTGTAAGTGTCCTGTCTGTCTTTTGTCTTTGTCTTTTGTCTACGTGATAAAGTAATTGTGAGTTAACCTGTTGAAATGCAACACAAATTTCAGACTTTGTCTGACAAAGTTGTATTGTATTGTGTCATACACTAATTTTGATGTGTATGCCTATTTCTGCAATTTGTTAAAAATACATCTCTGTGAGAACATGTAGTGAACATGAAAGCAAGCCAGTAGCATTATGTTTCCTCTTTCACCTTAGAGCGCAAATTAGACATTTAACTGTTTACAAAAAAAAAACAATTAACTGTTTAACTAAAAGTCCATTTCCCCCTCAGAATTAATAAAGGGTTTGTGATAATATTTATTAATATTTTGAATCCTTTTCTTCAGGTTTCTTTTTAATTTTAGTTTAGTTTTGTTGTGCTTTAGTCAGTTTATTAGTTTTTGTTTAAATTTTAGCTTTAATTTATTTTACTTTTAATAATTGTAACAATTTAGTATTACATTTTATTTCTGTTAGTTGCCAAGGCAAATTTAAGTTTTTCATCTATTTTTGTTTTATTTTATTTATTAACAGCCTTATTTTATATATATAT